TTATCCAAGTTTGAACTTCTCCGGTGGATGGATCGAGGTCTATCGGGAGAATGGCTGGTGAATTCACGTTCAGGATTGGATCAGTATTATCCGCAGCCGTACAGAGATGGAAAGCTTGCCAGCAGTACCTGAACGGTATGCAAAAAAAATGAAAACGAAGGAATGATAAAAACGAGCTTAAAATCAAAATTGCAAGATAGTTAACCAAAAAAGACTCAGGAAATGGATCGCACTGTTCAATTTTTCTTCCATTCCCTCGTGCGAACTAATCTCGTTGCAAATCTCTACCCTGAGTGATGCTCACAAGGTGAATCTATGCCCTCATCTAAAACTACTCATGTCATCGCACTAGCCGCTCTCTTTGGCAAGCTGAACTGGGAACACCTACGCAAATTTCTTGTCTTTCTACTCCGGATCTCTGGCTTCATGCAGAAGACGCACCGCGATTGTTGCATGACTACGTCTGATTCCCCGGTCCACTCTCGACTCCTTTCTCGAGCCCCACCCAATGCCTTATTTGACGTATGCAGGCTATTTTCAGCTACAATATCTCAGTCCCTGAGAGCATGAGAAACTGACTAGCTTCTAGTGTAGACCTGTGGAGATCATCCTTCTGTTTGCTATGCTTCCAGATTTCCCTTCCAATTTTCCCTTGGTGCTCATAGAGAAAATTACTTTTCCGAAGCAAAGAGTGACGGAAGAAATGGTCACATAAATTATCAAAGAATAAAAATCGATACTGAATCTCAAAATAGGAGCAAATGGATGATAGTATATCTGAGAATAATCTTCGTGGAAAATAGTAGCCGAAAAAAGGGATTTTTTTATATTCCATGTTTTGAAAAAAAAGTTACTATGAACTCAGGAACAAAAACTGTATAGGTTAGTATCTGAATCGTAAGTCTATATTCTTATAATAATTTTATATTACATTTCATGTCACCCATTAAATAAGAAAGTGATTTGGGATCGTTATATTTGAAGGAGAACAACTATGAATGAAAGAAAATAGTAAGAAAGAAAGGTGGAATTAAAGGTTCATTAACTAGGGAATAGGAATAAAGAAGATTGAGAGAGGAAAGAGAAAATCGATGAAAACAGAATTTGAGACAGTCGTTATTTTAACAAAAGAGATAAGTGATCGATAAAATGTTGAGGGCCGGATGCCTCCAACAGCCTCCAAGTCCAGTGATTATCGGAAATTGTAGATCAGTTCTACATCTTGTTGATGTTGATCTACAAACACGTGAATTCGATGAAGTTTTGATTAATTCATCAAAATGAATTCGAAATCGACCTTCAACAGAGTGAATAGGATCAAGGTGGGAGCAAGAGTATGAAAAAAGTGTATTCAAAAAATTATTCTCAAAATAATCTTTCCCATCCTCTCATAATAGGAAAATTTAAAACTTCGTTTTTAAACCTGGAAATCTGACTGTGAAAATGGTCTTATATAACTAATATCGACAGTTTTCGCCCATTCTTAAGATGCAGTCAAGAACTTTGCAATTACTCTTGAAAGCTAATGGAATGGCGCACTCCAGGCGACTGATCAGCGCTTTCCTACTAAGTCTCTAAATCGGAATACAAAGCAGCTGTGCCTGAAATCGGGAGGAAGCCAGCAAAGTGAAATTACCAATACTTTTAGCAACAATGCCCTTTGAATCGTTTTGTAACTGGTACAATTAAAATTTTTACTGATGGGTACCTATTACCTTTGCTTCTGAGCGTTTTTCGTAAACACAGCCATAATTGCCATTTGTAGATTGTTCTTACAAAAGGATTCCTAGACCTATCATTATTGTTTATGTTGCCTTTGAGAATGGCGGTATCTGGAGATGGCTTCCTTTTTCCCCTTTTGTTGGTCAAGCTTCATTTCTGCAGCCATCCAAAGTAGCCGGTCGCGTTAGAGTAAGTCATGCATTCGGAATTCGCTTCAGAAGCGTGCAAGTATAGATACATGTCTTCATTTGGTTCATATAATGAGGTACAGTGTATAATTTGAGTGAATACCCTTGCTGGAATTTCCCCATACAAACATGATGCTGAGCGACCAGGGTGGGAAAGACACGTCTCCAGCTGACCCAGAAGGGTTCAATCTAGAAATCATGAACGCGAGAGGGGCTCTTTTTCATTATTCCGTCAACGGCGTGAAGTTGTACAAAAACTGAAGCATCGAAGGTATCACAACAACAATAAAGTTGGTCTGGTCGTATGCAGGCGTACTAAAGCAAAGGAGTCGATGAAAAATAAATGTAGTCATCAGAGTAAGAGAAGAAAGACTAATGTATCATAATAGGTAGAAGAATGAATATTTTGTAAGGAAATGTTTTGAAAAAAATAATAATTCTACTGCATAATGGTCAACTAAGCGTGAGAGAAGAAAGTGTCAAAAGAAGATGCTGTTTCATGATCTAAAGACTATGTACGATGTACTACTATCTAAGAAATGCTATGTAGGCGAAAGTCTGCATTAAAAAGCCAAAGCTATCCACTATGGAGTAAAGTGCATGGCGCATCCCACAACAAAATTTTCCATTTTGTCATGACGGTAATTCAGACCAGAAAAAAAAACCAGAAATTTCGCAGACCTTCTTGAAACGAAAAAATCCTGAATAGCGCAAACGCTTTTCTTTGAATCAGATATTCCATGAGCCTATAGCCCATTCAAGTGTTAGCAGTCATCCGAATGCATGCCGATTAAGTGGCGTATCCCCCAGTAAGTGATTGAAAATGAGAACAACAACTTATTTAGTTACTCTACAATATTTATTTCTCACCTCAATTAACGCGTGAAATGAGAATAACTTGAGTATTATCTTCGAATACTCAAAACAACAAAGTAATGAATGGAGGGATCCGAACCACGAGCAGTCAAGGTGATAACGGCGCCCTTCTTCACTATACTAAACTACATTCTTCGTCAAAGTAAATGTGGCAACGGATTTTATTTATCGGAAACGTGTGAAAACCGTTAGAACAGGTAGTGACAAGGTAGCACATGACATACCTGTTCAGAATGTGTTGCGCAACCTGAACTTACCTGTAAACAACGCTGACCTTGGCGATTACAATTCATAGCGGCTACTGCTGCACAAATGCTATAAGGGACACCCGAACTCTGTTTGGTTACGATTTCCGATTTCCGAGAATCGACAATTACGCCATGAGTCTTTTCCTTCTCCTCCGCTCTTACTTTTGCGATATGTACAATAGCGCTCAAAAGTCTCCAGCCGAATGGTTCGTAACTCCCTTCCTATTGGATCTAATCATGCAAAGTTTCAATATGTGTAGCATGGGTATACTGTGAATATTTACCACTATTAACTTGCAATCTGATCATGTTCCAGGTATACCAAAGGGCTTGAACTCAAAATCAACTGGAAATGACGGTGATGTTCCTTCTGGAATTTCTTTCCTTTTTGCCATGTCCAAAGTGTACGAGCGCTAATGCCGAACACAGCAGAGGAGAAAAACGCGCATACGGTCGGAATAACTGCAGACTTTGCCAACTTTGCTTTCAGTGAAGCCTGCTACCACAACAGACACCTTACTCTTAGCTGCGTGGATATGGCTGCTTCGCAGTCAAATATTGTCGGATAGTGTGAAATATTCCTCTGTTGAGCATAACAAACTTTCCCGCGATTTGTTCCACTAAGATAAAAGTTATGAACGAAAAAGCGTAAGAACATATGACCGAAGGCTTTTGAGCGCTACTGTATGTCGGTTCAGAATTCATTACTAGAATTATTGTTTTGATGAATACTGCTGCTTCGCCTCCGCCCCAGCCATACCGTGACTGCATTGTTCGGATCTCTGATCTGCTATCATGTGAACTTATGTGGGTCCAATTTATCCAGCTATGATCCTATCAATCTTAGTTAATGGGCGTGCGGAAGCGAAAAGTCTGGGTAAGAGTCACGGTTAAGGCGCTCCGATATTTGCATATTTTACGTTCATTGATCAAATTTTTTGGCAAATATTGATAAAAAATTGAACTAAGCATGGCCATCAAAGAAAAATCAATAACTTCAAAATTAGCATAAATTCAAGTCAAGAAAGGACAACATTCACAATTTACAAACATTGTTGACGACAAATGAGTTTCCCAGACACTGTTAACGGCAAAAAATCGAGTGGCAATCAATTATATTTGTTAGATCTGGATTCTACATGCATATTTTATTGTAGAAAAATATTATGTCCTTTATAAATCATACCTTTTTATTTCAATAATTTTCCACCATCTTGTTTGTCGCAAATGAAGCAAAGACATGGATTTATTGAAATAGCAATTGCGGCAAATAAAATTCCTAACGTGGCCTCATAGAAGGATATAATCGTCATAGACAATCAGTACGTGAACAGTAGCAAGATCGTATAATCATCGACCACGATGCGGAATCGATCCCTTGATCGCACGTTTACGAGACCGCACGCTTCGTATTGCACCATATCACATCACCCTCGGAGTTCCTTACGTGCTTCTCAAATCACGCACATTGTGAACTTCCCTCGGCCTTGTAAATGTCTGCTTAATAAGTAACAGAGAAGATTATTTCAGGCCGATTGAATACTTAAATGATTATCAACAGCATTGTAGTTCACTTCATATTGTCAAGGACGCGCCCACCACACGAGCTCCGCCCATTGGAAAGAGCATTATAGACAAGGCAAGTTTGCGGATTACCGCTACTCAAAAGTACGAAGCAACATTCATTGCATATTTATTTTTTAATTAACATAAACATTAAATCAATGTCATTACATAAACACACGAATTAAATTATGGAAAATATTGCTCGAAGGGAATATTTTCAGATTGCATCTTTCAACATTTTGACGAAAACTTGCAACAACATTGAATTGAGGCACGAACTGCTCGAAAGCATCAAAATCGAGAACAAAGAAGAAAGACAAGGAAGAGTTGGATTGCTTGAGAATGGAGTATCAATTTTACTATAGATATCGAAAGTACAAAAATGTATAGGAAACAACTATCAAGTGCTTTGCCGTGGTCGTGAACGGAATGCTGCGAATCGATCCGAATACTTGGCATAATTAATCGTCTCTTTTCGTTTTCCTAGAAAGTAGCTGCTAGATTTCTGTGCGGATCAATGAATCAATCATGGAGTGTGCAAACCATCAACTCTGCTCAGTCTGATGAACATCGTCAGGACAGCGATGAAGAGCGCGGCACAAACAGTACCAAGCCCACCAGCAACGGCCAAAAGACCTCCCCTCGAGATTGCACATGCTGATGAAGATGAAACGGATCGAGAGTATGGTTCTGAATGGAATTGACGTCGAAGCACAAGGATCAAGCTAAACTGATGAAGGTCTGTTTGGAGATACTCCAACTGCAGTATACGTGAATATGCCTGAGAGATTCCAGGGCGCCCCTCTATGTATTACTGTAACGGTGGCCAGCAAGTTTGTCACTTCCTACTGTATAAGTTCCAACAAGCCTTTCCGTTCGTACCTTTCTGTGATCCTGCCCTTCCATCCATTTCTGGAGGTTCCTCATCTAATTCAAAGATCAACAACTGCCCAGCAATCATGGGTTTGTCTCCATTGGCGCTCGTAACGCTATTCCTGGCTGCCTGGTCTTGGTCAGTTAATGGTGGCACATCTCGTCGCCGTCCTGTCAACCAATCCACCTGCAATAAATTGTCTGGATTACCGAATAAGAAAGTAATTTTTGGTCAAGGAACTGCTGCCGCCAACCATGTCGCACTCGATGGTCACGCTCACCTCACAAATACTCCGTCGATTGCACTTGACTCCCAACTTTTATAATTACTGTTTTTTGGGGCTCTATGGGGAACAGAGACTTCCGAGAAAAATAAGTTTCTTACCTGTATCTGATCAATTTTGTCACCAGATCGAAGATCACCTGCTCGCAGCTCGCGCATCATTCGTGTCGGACGATGACCAAGTTTCTGTAAACAAAATTCAACCCCTTTACCCATTCGGGTGCAAGCCATAGCTCTTGCCATTGTAGGAGTAACAACTTCATGGTTTTATGACAATGTAGAAGTAATAACTGCATGCTACTAGCGAGACCATTAAAGGATATACCCAAAGTTTTCAATTCCATATTTGTGATACTGTTAAAATTTGCCAGAAAAGAAGGAAACTTCGATACCTTCGGTACGATCAGAATTTCAAATGTTGGTTCAGTAACTCAGGTCACGACCGTGCTCGCAGTTTTGAATTGAAGTAACGTGGATTTATTCAATCATTCGTACAGTACAGTGTGGGATTGGAAGGCTCCAAGGACCGTCAGAACCTATCACTCTTCACACTCCTAGCGTATCACTGAACACGAGGTCCCCAGTGGTCCGCCCTCATTCCTTATTAGTGAGTGGGCGCACAAGTCCCACCTACTCAGAATCACTTTTGCCTGAAACATTTTCCTACCTTCAGCTGATTCTTTAGTAAATCGAAACCTTCAAGCAGAGCTTTGCGATCGTCAACGGAATCCCTGAAAGAATTAAAATGAATTCTTTCCGGGAACAAGCTCATTACACAAGTTCGACCACGACATACAGAATAAATAAATTGATTATAGCCATTTGACTGATGGTTTTGATTAATAAGTAATCATGAAGGTAATGTGGACATGAAAATTGTAATGTGGACAAGAATTATGTGGACATCCGCTACGGTTGGTCGCTCCTGACCACACCTACCACCATAAGTCAGCTCGGAGGATGTTCGGTTGATCAGAAAGTTTCATTGTAACTTTGGGCAGGATTTAGGAGAATTATACTCCACTAACCTGCGCCTATCAAATTTCAAGGACTCTGAGAAAAATGTAATACAATCACAAGAAAAATTAAACAGACCGGAACATTTTTTGAAGTGTCTCTGGACTGAGATCGTCCGGCAGATTAGCCAACAGATCAGTGAGATTAGGCGGGATGGTGACGTCTTCGTAATCGTTATAATCGGCTAAAAGTTATGTCTTAATCTACTTATCCAAAGCTAGTCAGAAACAGACAGAATGATGGCACCATTCCATGTGCACTCTCATACGAAAATCCTAGATTGTTCTCATCAAACTTGCTTTTTATGGGCGCAACCCCTAAGTATTGTTTGAAAGCTACTTTCTAAAGGTGGTAAGCCCAAAAAATTACTGGTTCCACAAGGTGAAGCCTCAACTATGACTTGTTAAGGCACTCAACAGACATGAGTCGCTGCTCTTCACTTCGCATTACATATTGATCTTCACTAAATGCCTTCTCACAGTAATGAGACGAAGTGAGATAATGGGAGAGGTTGTTAAAATTTGGCTCATTTCTCATGCCAGTAGTTACCATTTCATAGCAGACTGTTAGACCTGATACCCATGAATTCTTTCGAGAGCCTACTGTGCCTTCCATCAAGCAATAAAAAGAAAAATCCGAACTATTAAACCACTCAATGCTCAAATTCAGTTCCCATTGCCTACTACATACTGGAGACTAAATCCATCGGAAGACGAGATTGAAAGGAAAGAAAAAGTCTTTTGCTGCTCAACAACGTTCTCCTCAACGTTTTGCTCTACTTATACCAACAGGTTCATTTTCACTCTGAAATTCACTGACCTAGTTCCTCGAGAAAGTGAGACCCGAGAGGACGATATCTGTTTGATTTCGAAATGAGTGAGTCAAATGGTCGGGTCTTTGTGGAACTTTACTGTACATATGACAATCCTTAAACGTTGACTATTGTTCGAGGAAAGAATCATTACCAGCCTATGTACTCCTGAAGATGATGACGATCTCGATTACAACTGAATGTGATAATTCTCCTGTTTTCTAAACACTAAAATACACTGTTCGGACATGGCTCACGCACCAGATTCCCCCATCGAAAAGACTCATTCACTCATTCTGTACTGGCTACTGTCCTTGGTGTTTTTGATACCGCAGTACCTCACCCCACTTAAATGACCACGTCAGCTAAATC